TCGGCCTGAGAAGACTGGAAAAAGGCATTTCCAAGGGAGAGGCGCGTATTCGCTGAATCTGGGTGCCAGACTGCTTTTGGTTCAGTCGATAGTGGACAAAAGAAACCGTTTTGTGAATCAGGGCTGATGCATTTCAGTGCTTTTCCGCGGGGCTTCGTTCTACTTAAAATGCTTTTTTCCGGAGGCCAGGTCAGGCTGCATATCCGGTATACTTCCACTGTGCCTGAGGCCTGATAGACTTCCCTCCGACAGTCCTGAGTGCAGAATATGGCTCTAGCCCCTTGAATAGAGGCTTTAGGACGTCCTAATCAGCTGGTGGACTTTTCATGGCATGGAGGTTGACTAACATTCCCTAGTAAATAGCGACCCATGAAGCCTCTGTTAAAGGGACAGGATATATTTTTTTCTCCAGGCAGTTGGCAACTTTAGTCTATTGAGGTCATAGCCACACACCCCCGTGCCCAGGGCTGGAACGTCATTTGTCTGGCTCCAGTACAAATTTTAGTACACGGACACATCCTATTTCATCTCATACATATAGTCTCCTCGGTCTTGAAAGAAAATTATATTTTATTCCTGACATTACATAAATAGATCAAATTACTGAAATGAGCTTCTTGTCCGGCTGTCCTCCCGCTAGTGACTTCCACAGCTGCCTGGTGAGTGAAACTTGGCCCCAGCAAGGATATAGCAGGTTTATCTGTCGAACTTCTGCCTGTCGTCATCATGCAATTATGGAAGCGACAGGACGGGAGAAAGGTGGAAAAACACCTCTGAGTGCAAATTCCTCGGAAAGAAAGTACATTTTTCCTCCAAAAAAAAAAAAAAATGACCTGGTCCATAAACAAAATCAGTTAAATGTTTGTGTGTTTTACGAAGTCTGAGGTTTAAACCATTAATTAGGCTTTGGTGGCTCCATTCCTAAGGACCCTTTCCTGGAAGTAAGCCCCGCTAAATAACAGGGGACTTACTTCCGAGTAGAGCTCTTAGGCTTGTTCCCGATGTTTCCAAAGCTCTTGAGACGAGTTCAGGACCTCAGTCAATGGGATTCACAGGTCGAAGGCTGCCCTGGTTGAGTCTCCCCTGGGTTGAAACCAGGAATGTACAAAAACGAATGACAGGACCGCTGACATTCGCTTTCCCGCATCCCTTAAGCCAACATCTTCGGAGACTTCTCTCCCAACTCTTACCTTCCCTCCCTTTTGCATCCTGGGGGGTGAACGAACCAAATGAGCGAACAGAACTTTCACATAACGCTTGCCTGGAAGTAAGCCCTGTAACTGAATAGTGTCTTGCTTTCAGTTCAAAGAAATATGCTGCCAGTGGAACACAGATGGGATTCCCTGTAGTGCGGTGTGTTTCTGGGAAGAGACCATGCCTTTCTTACCTGTCAGCCAAGGAGACCCCGCAGAAGAGAGTTATTGCTAACGACGCCCAGACCATTTCCTTGTTAAGAATCCTCCGCAAGTGGAGCCTTTTCGTATCACAGCACTGGCAAACTGTTGGGTATTACAAGTTAAAAACTTGTAATATTTAACCCCAGCATATCTGGGGTTAAATGTTTGTTTATGTTACTCACAGGAAGTCACATGTTTTTCATGTAACCAATGTTCTTTAGATGTAGAAAGCCCGGGAATTTTCTCCCTGATCTAGGAATTTGATTGGGACTAAAGTGTCAAGGTGTATTACCATTTTATGGCTTCTCTTCCCGTCTTTGTTTGGTGTTCTGAAGAAGAGCAGCCATAATCTCTCTCTTCTAGTTTTGTCTTTGTAGAGTAAGGATGTAGCCGATTATGCTCTGTTGTTATTTTCATCCCAGTTACCCTTCCCATGCTAGAATGTAGTAAAAACTTTATATTTTAATCACACATGGACTCTCAGTCTAAATTATTTTACTCTGGCTCTGCTGGACTATTTTATCTCTGCTAAATACCATTTTTCAATATTTCACTATCACCCAACACAAACGTCTGTACATCTGATCGGCAGAGGGGTCGTAATAATTCCGGTAGGCATAGCTCTGGCCAGGTGGGGACCCCGAGCCCTTCATTAATGCATTGGGCCCTTCCGGGCATTGAGAGCCTTTGGAATGGATGCAAGGCGGAAAGAGCGGTAGGTGTTTTTAAAAGGAAAGTGCATCTCGCAACTTTCGGCAGAAATTGGCAGGGTCTAAGATTTCCTGTGTCGCTGGAGTTCGAGCACTGCAGATACCGACTCGGGAGTAGTCGTTCTCGTTCCCTCCCTCCGCCCTTTTCCTTCGCTGCAAGGGAACCAAATCCATCTTGGCTGCATGCCAGGCCCCGTACATTAAAAAGGGGATATCGGGTGGAATTCACCCAACTTTCCACTCAGTCTGACCCATAGGGCCCCCATACCATCGGCCTTTTGTGCGTGCAAATCCCATGATCCCTTTTGATTATCAGAGGGATCTCACCTTTTTAGATCCCATCCATTAAAGTGAAATGAGCTGGAGAGATATTCTTGTCGCATTTATTTGTCCCCAAAGAACCCACCCACCTCCTTTACAGTGAATGGAACAAGCACCGTCAGTCTTGCATTTGAACTCCAAGGCGATGTTTTCTCCAGGAGAGAGGGAGGGAGAGAGAGACGAAGTCTAATCCGTGAGGTGCCGCAAGACTCTTACCGGGTGTTCTACGCATTTTTTGGTTCAATGACAATCTCTGTTATTTAGAACAGAAAAGGAGGCAAAAGACTGAGGAGATTATCGGCTAGCACTGATTTTAGCATAAATCTCACGAATGTGTTGGGAATATCTGTTTGGCCTCGGGTTTTCGGAATGGCTTTTTAAAGGGCATTTGGGTAGAAAGTGACCGGAGTTTTCCCTCAGTATACCAGGAAGCCAATACTTCGTTTTCACGAGACCTTCTGGGCGATCTGTTGCCGGCGCTGGGCTTCTGATGTTATAACTTCGCCATCGCGTTGCTCCGGGACATCTCAGGAGTGGGGAAGCGCTCATTTCTGACCTCTCTGGGAAACAGGGCGCGCGGCCCGCATCGTTACACCACGACACGAGAAACAGAGAGCGAGAGTTACGCTTAAACAGGCGAAGCTTCATTGTAGCCCATGCTTGAAGCCAGGAAATTGTTGTTCTACCTTATGGCAGGCTTAGCTACCGCGCCAGCGCGGACACTGACTGCAAAAGGGTTCGCTTTTCATGGGATTGGACTTTAGAAAACGACACGGCAGAAACATGGGGCGCGGAAGCTCTGCGTCACCCCGAGCCTCTCAAGAAATTCCAAATCAGTCCCCCTGTCCGATTTGGATGAGAAACGGTTGATTTCATTTCTCACTTCACCGATACAAGTTAAGGCAATTGCAGAAGAGCTACTCATCTAGCGTGTAGCCCAGTGTGGGTGTCGAAGACGGGAGGGGTGACGTTGCAGCCTCTTCCTCCGCCCTTTGCCAGGCAAGCCTCTGTGGCTTATAGAAAGCGGTGTCTGTCGAGGGTCACGGCCCCATTCCTTCCAGAGAGCAGGCTCTGCGGAACAAGCCCTCTCGTAGGAACACGGCAATACCTTAACTTCACCAACAGGACGGGGGAGAACCCAGGCAATAAATCTCGTGGATTCGGTGGGATTTTTGAGTAAGCAGGCTCTTAGGAGCCACATTAAATATTGATTCTGGGATAAAACTCTGGCCAAACAAAAGATTTAAAGAACCCTTCCCTGTGTGAAGCCGTTTTCTCACTGTAAGTCATTGCCTGTTTTGCAGTGAAAAAGAAAATTCTGTAGGGCTGCTCTAGAATAAAAACAGTATATTTAAAGCACTTTGCTTCCCCCATCCCACCCCACCACCTAAATTCCCTCACACTGTATCTAGAGAAGAAAATTGGAGTGCTGGGGGGCAAACTGTGTGACAACCCTGAAGGTAAAATTCTCCTGTGTGAACTAGTTTGTGTTAAATGTATTCATTAATTTTAGAGCTGTACATCTGGAGGCAAAAGCCACACTAAAATGAATAGGTTTTACCTTTAACAACAACTGTTATTGAGATCAAATGCTTACATCTTACATTCTTTGCAGATCAAACTCCAGAACTTGAGGTACAGTCTTGGCTGTTCTGAATAGTTCCAAAAAAAGTTTAATATGGACTTGCTGGGAAGTTGATTCCATGTAGATATTTCCGGCATGGGATCCCCGATTGATAAGGTTAAGGGGAGTACCTGCACATTTGTTTCTTGACTACTCATCCAGTAGTTCAGAAAACACAGCCATCTATGTTCAGAAAACACAGCCATTTAAGGCCAACCAAAGTGATACCAAACAAATTGCCATGATTCTAGTTCTCCAGAACTCTTCATCAGTTTTAAAGGGGGAGAGAAGATACTCCTCTTTAACGCCTAGTTTAATGAAGAATTCTGAAGGACACCTAAAAAGAGCACAGAATTTCATTTTATTGGTCGTAGTAAAAAGGTATAACATTTTTGATTTGTTTTTCTTTGAACCACCACGGCTAGCTGGAATCTTATACGGAAGAATATCCGGTGTCGCCTTTAGGGTTTCAGAATGTGTTTTCACAAGGCACTTCTTAAAGCGGACGAAATCATAGCAGATGGACACCCAAGCATTACACAATCTCCTGAGTTTTATTGGCGAGTTCCTTCCAACTTTACTGGGGTCCTGACGACGAGAAGTCCGCAATCACGCTGCACAACACCCCCTCCCACGCAAAAAAAGCACACCTGTATAAAAGGCAGAGGTTCAAAACAGTCGCTCTCCTGCCCGCCCTTCAGAGCTGTCAGGCAACGGCAGCGCCCCAGATTCAACACCTGGGGGAACCCCCCCCCCCCCAAAAAAAAACCCTCTTCCGGCGCCGAGTTGCAGAAAGCAGGAACCTCTGCGCGCGCCCCCCCTCACAAAAGGTCCTCCGCCGCGGCCTCTACCCGCGGTCATCAGTCAATAAATTACAATAAATAGAGCCGCCCCCGCCCCCCGCACGGGGTCCTTCGTCCGTCCCTTCCTCGGTCCGCAGCAGGAGCCTCAGAGCTCCGGGTAGGCTCCGCCCCCGCCCGCGGCTGCGCAGTAGTAGGCGGCGGCGGCAGGGCCGGCCTCGGGGGCCTCGTGGCCCGGGTAGGCGAGGGCCAGCTCGGCCGGCCGGCAGCCGAAGGGCAGGTACTGCTCGAACTCGGCGCGGTCCACGTCGGCCAGCAGCTCCACGTCGTGCGGG